CACTTTGAGCAAACCAGCCCACAGACACGCAGAGAGTGTGACGTTCTCCATTCTGAGGACTTTATCGCTACTCTCGGCTGTGATCATATTGGTCTTTTGGGCCTAAGTATCTCCTCTGCTGAAGCATAACGGCCAAAACAGAAGTTCCACGTTGGATTAGGATATCACTGTCAGGCAGTGCCCAGTACAGCTTTGACAGACCTATTAGCAGGTTGCATGTTTTTGTGAGGCTTCGCAGTTACAACTGAATGCAAAATTGAGCCTGTGTCTCGCTGCATTTCTTTTGAGCTTTATAGGATGTTCAAAGAAGCTGAACAATAGTAAAACTGGAGATCATTATTTAATAAAAAGGCCATGCAACACAAACTCAAGACATGTGACAAGTTCACCAGCGGCAGTGGTTTTTCAGCTATTATGAATAGCTGAAATGTTATTCACACGATGTGAAAGCTGCATTTTAACTGTGAATGTGGTTTCGGGGTGGGAAGGTGCGGCTGTGTGTGGCTGTTATAATCCTGGTGATGTCTTTTTCTTGTATAAAGTGCGAAGTGAAACTCAAACTACGGCTAATGCCAGACTTGGTTTAAAAATTAGACAAACAAAGATCTTTTTATAGCAAGGCATTTGCTGATTTGGCTGCGCTTCCTCAAACAGTCTGGCTCAGTGGGAGTTTGCTTGTCAGTCTGGCTTTGTCGTGGCTGGCAAGTAGCCAACGGCTGATTCAAAATTTTGAATTGCTGTTGACAATCTTTGATCGTTTGGCCATTTGTACTTTTCCAAACTATTTCTGAGACAGTGTATACGAGTCCCTCCGTTTTAGTATTTAATCCTTTTGCAGCTCTTCATTACTTAAATCAAGAGCAACTCAGTTCCCTGACATTTGCTGCATAACAAATGTCAGTAAAATTCAACCACTAAAAACGAAATAAATAAATAAATATGTGACATCATCAAATAGTCCTAAGTGTCATTTGATGCCAGCCAAAATCTATAATTTTGTAATGACTTGAAAACGAAACGACTTGAAAACAAAAAATGATAACCCTTTCCATTACCTTTACTAACCCTAAAGCCAAATTAAAAACAATAAAACTTTGGAAGTTAGGGTTTAAACTGTTTTGAAATTATTGCTTTATTTATAATAATGTGCAATAGTCTTGAGTTACCCCTCATTTCATTATTCTTTGATTCTATGAACCAGACTTTCTTTTAATTATTAAAGTGATCCTGATCTTACTGGCAGCCTGTAATCTATTTCCTTTTCTGTCGTTGAAATGGCAAAAACAGTATTTTTGCACTAACAAGATGATTCCTAAAGAGCTATTGGATAAAAGCTTGGCATATTTTCGCATGGTGGGCGCTGTCTTCTTAAAAGGTTTGAGGTAACTAGCTACGGGAAGGAGAAAAGAAAGAAGTTGTAGGCCAAAAAATAACTATCTACAACAGATGAACAGTATCTGACAGTCATGTTCTTAAGAATCAGGAAAAAGAAAATCCAGCAATGACCTGCCACATGAGCTGAGAGATGCATTTGGCTCTTCAGTTGATCCATCTATCATCAGAAATGGTCTCAGAGGAACGCTGGCTAACAAGAGTCCAGTCTTAAGGAAGTGAAACAGGCAGATTAAATTGAAGTAAGCCATATAAAACATCAATTGCACTGAAATTACTAAAAATAATTACATTTTTTCTTCAGATCATTGTAAGTGTGTATAGAGGAGTACAGCAGTGAGTAAAACACAGTGGCGACTCTGTCATGGTTTGGGGCTGCATTTCATTTGGTGGTGTTGTGCATCATGTCAGAAGTGATGGAATTATGAGTGAAGAAAAGTTAGATTTCAGTCAAGCAGTACCAGTGGAAAGTGTCGGACTGGCAACAGCTTCATTTGTCAGGATGAAAATATTCCTGAACACATTGTCAGTGCAGTGAGAGCATACCTGGATAGAAAAGCAAATAGTGTAACGCTGTCAGTCATGGACTGGCCTCCCCAGAGTCCAAACCTTAACATTGTTGAAACAGCGTGGGATCATCTTGACAGAGATTGAAACAAAAGGCAGCCAACATTCAAAGAAGAGCTTTGAATGTCCTTCAAGAAGCTTAGGGAACTATTCCTGAAGAAATTACAAGCCTGCCAAAGAGGTTTCAGGCTGTGCTGAAGAATAAAGGTGATCATACCATGTACTAACTTTCAAACTTGTTAGAATTGAACAAACCCTGTATTTCCAGGTATGTTTGCACATTTCAATAAAACACTGCACCCATTTCCCATTTTCCTAGCAAAATATAAAGAAATGAGGGGTGACTTCTGCACAGTACATTGCACATTTCACAAAGCTTCATTGTCTTTTGAATTGGAGACACACTTCAGTAAATACTGTCTACAAATTAGTCTATAGAAATGTGTAATTCCATTTAAGTGAAACTTTTACTGGAGTAAAACCTTAGCCCTGTCAGCTGTCAGTGTGGTAATGCTTACAGCAGCAGGGGACTCTGGTTGAGTGCAGAGGAAACCACAGCTCCTCCTCATAGCAGTGAGGGGAGACAGTCGCTATGTGGATTCTGCATTTTACCCCCAACTCATACTCTGAGCAGACAGCTGATGTTTTTCTGCTCTGCCCATCTGGGCCTTGTGACTAAACATCTGGTAAAGCTGCCACTGTGTATGCCGTGTTCCAGAGTGATGACAGTGAAGGTACTGCTGTCCACCTCTTCTAAAAAGATCTTGAGAGGTAGGCAGGACTTCATCTTCACATGTCAAGGCTTATTCTTAGAATGTGACTCAATTACCAGAGTATTGTCCAGCTCTCAAGGCATTTATCTGGTTGTTTTGTGGAGAGGTGCACTGTAATTATCTTGATTGTGGCTGCTTAGTGTGTAATCAAAATGATAATTGGATGGGCTGATTTAAAATAAGACGTTCCCAGCCTGGAGCTTTTGTCCCCACTTTACGGGGTGGTACATGGAATTTTGTTTTACAATATAACAAAGATAAATACAGTTGTTGAATTTTGGGCCACCAATGCTTAAAATCTTTTAAAAATTGTCACGATCATGGGTCTCTGACCCAGCGTTTCCAGTTTATATTTTGAGTTCTTAAGTTATTGTTGAAATATGTTGAGTAATAGGATTATCATTTGGTTGCCTTAAGTTTAGTCTAGCTATGTTTCACTCTTCTGTGTTAGTCTGTCATGTTTCTTGTCTTCTTGTTCATGTTGTCAAGCTTGCGCTATCATGTCTATGTCGTTCCATGCTGTTTCCTGTTTTATTTTGAAAGTCTGTGTCCAACATGGTCAGCTCGTTCTGTCACAGTGTGCCGAAGCAGACTGTATGAATTGTGAATAGTAGACCCAAATACAGACATAAAAGAATGTGGAAGAAAACTTGATATTAATATATTGATATGGCTGATAAAAAGGTGATAAAAATGTGCAAAAAATGCATGTTAATAGTGGTGAAAAAGCAGGCATTACTCCATCATCATTATCCTTACCCGCATTTTAAACTGTTCGTCAGGTTACTTTTCCACCTATTTGTCTATTTTCAACTCTTTTCATATTTAAACCCATGTAGCTACCTTTCCCTCTGCCTTCTCTTCGAGGCTTTCCCCCAGAATGGGATGTTTTGCAGTGACTGGTAGGCTTTCATCCATTATGAATGCTATGTTTTAGAAGGATAATCTGTGCAGAATGATATAAATATCTCCTTTTGGTTCCCAGCAGGATGGGAGAGGCAGAACAAGATAGGCCACTGTTCAGCGTTAGCGCTGTATCTTTATAATTTGATATGAAGTCTAAAGTAAAAGAAAGCAACACAAACATGCGACGAGCACAAACAAGGCTGTCTATAATTCACGATACACAGCAAATCTCTTGACCCCTCCACTTCTGAGACAGCTAGCCAAGTATTTTTTGCAAAATTAGAGAAAAATGTTAAAATAAAAAACAGCTATTACTACACTACACTTCCATTTGCATTAAAATAACTTCAGATATCACCAATCGGAAGTGATGGTCTGACAGCTGGTGCATTGTAGTGCAACTTTGTGATCCTAAGAGAATTTTTGCCCTTTGTGTCCTCTGTTACAGGCTGAAACACAGCAGGGGGCTGTATGTTAGCATACAAAACCAGCATGAAGGAAAGTCTGACAGATATGTGTGTGTGTGTGTGATGGTCAATTGAGAGAGAGGGACAACTGCAGGCTTCTCCCACTGTGTCCAGATCCATTGCTCTATTAGTCTGGCGCTGTGGAGGAAGCCAGTTGTCTTTGAAAGAATATACAAGGACACACACAGACACAAACATACACACATATATAAATAGAGTACAGCTGATACAAAGGATTGGAAAGGCTATGAGGGATAAGATGTGCAAAGAGTGAATAAGTTCACAAGTCAAAGAAAGTGGTTTTTGATTTTCAGAATCATGTGCTCTTAATTTGCTAGCGTGTTTCATAACCTTTGGTATAACGCTCTGGAGACGATCTACATGAAGAGAGCAGTGTGCCGTTATAAAGCCTATGGAACACTGCCAACCAGGAGCAAATCAGTTATGCTCAAGGCACATAGAAATAATTCATTGCAGTACTCTGAAAGCAGTTGAGGCATGGGTGCAACACAGAATAGATTTCCTGTGTATAGTGCTGGGTTCTGGTATTATTTCTGCTTGAATCTAAGAATCGACAAACTAGACTAGAGCTTTGGCTGTCCAAAGCTAGCATTATGTGCCCCTTTGAATATGATGTCAATTAAAAAAGCATGCGTGACATTGCAGCTTCTCTAACACACACTAACTATAAAGTGTGCCTTTTCTAGGAGATTCTACAAAGAGAAAACCTTAACATTGACTGACACTAATAAAAGGCCAAACCCTGCATAAAGCCATCTTTATTGAAATTTAATGACTGAGATTCCATTCCATCTTTCATTTCCTTTTATTTCCAAAAGTGGCTTTTCCTGCTCTTTTCTTCAGGGCCTCTGACACCTCTTCTCTCTCTTTGCAGGCACCCACTGTGGAGCCCACTGGCTGGCCTTGTAACTTTCTGCCTGTTTGACACACCAAGAGGAAAGCTAAATGCACCTGAGTGATTCTGGAGAACCAGAGAAGAGAGGCAAGCTTCCCACCTTTGTTCTTGCCTTATGAGAGCTGCTCTCTGTGGACTCCACCTCAGAACACTCTGTACTGTTTAGTTACTGCATGTATCCACAACTCTAAGGTGCAGGAAAAGTGAGTGAAACACAAAGAGGAAAGAAGAAAGGGTAAGAGATAAAGAGAGCACAGCTGCATAATTAGTATTAGCGAATTTGTTGCAGAGCTAGAAACCATGAGAAGAGACTTCTGAAGACAACCGTGCTCTGAAAAATATTGCGGCTAAACCTTCAGGACATTTGTATGTGTGTGCGGGTATATGTGTGCACACCTCTTTCATTTTCAAAGGACTTGAATTTGTATTTGGATGCGGGTTTAGCCTTTCATTATGACTCTGCAAAGAGGCTTTGAGAGAGCATGGATTGGCTGCCACAAAGGTGTCTGCTGCTGGGTGTTGCTGCTGGCTTGTTATGTCTTGATCTCCTTGGCTGCCAAACCGAAAATGCCGGGCCATACACACCTAAACTCAATACGTATTGATGGGGACATATCCCTAGGCGGGCTGTTTCCGGTGCACGCGAGAGGAAATGACGGCAAAGCTTGTGGAGAGCTGAAGAAGGAGAAAGGAATCCATAGGCTGGAGGCCATGTTATTTGCCCTGGATCGTATCAATAATGACAATGAGCTGCTGCCTAATATCACTCTGGGGGCACGCATACTGGACACCTGCTCACGGGACACCCACGCTCTGGAACAGTCACTGACATTTGTTCAGGCACTGATTGAGAAAGACTCAACTGATGTCAAATGTCTCAGCGGAGGGCCGCCCATCATCACTAAGCCTGAGAGAGTGGTGGGAGTAATTGGTGCATCTGCCAGCTCCGTGTCAATCATGGTAGCCAACATTTTGCGTCTCTTCAAGGTCAGTTTGCTCTTCAGTATATACTTCCTATTTCCCTTTTTCTAATCATGTTTGGAAAGTGCTTTTTACATGGAACACCTCAAAACATATCCTGTGCAGCAAACTTAAATTCACTAGACTTTCAATGAAAAACAGCATAACCAATATTACACCACATCAGCATCACCACACTGTAAATATAGTATAAAAAAGTAAACACAACCTCTCCGAGGCCATGTTCCTCCTGCTTTCCTATCTGTCTTTTCTTCACAAGTCTAACTGACATCAGTTTCAAACATTTTCCTACTGTCCAGAAAATTAGGCGCTAATCATTATACCGTAATTCTGCTCACTAATGACATTAATTTGCCAATGGTCGTCAGTCAGCCCTCTTCTAATTAATTCAGGGAAGCCATGCATGGCATCGTGAGCTCCCTGCACTACTATTGGACATAGAGTATAAAATGAGACTCTGCATTTTTTTGGGTTAACAGATGTGAAATGTGCGAATGAGAACAAAACATAAACAATATTTGACAAAGTTTATATAATACCTGCTTAATGCTGTCAAACCAAACTACAGGCGACATCCAAACTAATGAGCACAAGGACTGTGTCTTTGTTTTAGACTTGGTAGCAATGAGAAAACAGTGGTTATGCATTGAAACCCTCGGTCTATGAAGACAAGTGAGGATCTCTAATTAGTTATTCATGAATTCACTAACTAACAATTTGCAAGTCAATCTGTATGAATGTAACTGTCTGAGGACTGAACATATACTATATGAGGGGCTTACTTTTCCTCTTCCTTTTATCCTTTAAGCTTTAAGAGACTATTGAGGAGCAGAGAAGATAGTTAGAGCTTCCACTGTTGTTCAAATTATGGGTAATACTTTAGATAGCCTTTGTGATATTTACACAGACTTTATCTGTTAAAAGAAGATCAGGTCAGTAACACCTGCTGTGACACTGATTTAACTTCTTTTAAGTTCTACCAGCCAGCCGCTAAGGTCAACGAATTTCTCAACAGAAAGAGTAGAAAGGTACATAGTACAATATTCCATCCTAAAGAAGCCTGATTGGTGTCAAAGAATGAGACTCCAAATTCTCCAAAGTACTGGAGTGACTTCTTCTTTTTCTGGTGCCATGCTAAAATCTGTCACAAAACCTTGTAATTATTGTACCCACTGAGCAATATGAAGTTGGTGACACAGCTCACACAGGAACTGTGTTACTGCACAGCAAGGCAGAGGAAAGCAGTCAACACAGCTTGGTGAGTACACTGCCCCAACAGCCTACGACATGTGTCAACATCAGTTCAGCCTGTACAGGACTCCATTTTTTACGAGTCGATATGAGATGTTACCACAGCGCTCGTCATCATCTTTTCTGCTCAAGCCAAAACACAACAACTATGAGACATTTCTTAGCAGAGAGCACAAACACTGAAAAGCAAGAGCTGAAATACACCAACACATGCACCTTTAAACTTCATGCAGAGGGCAAGATGGCAAGCACAAAGACACCAGACGCAGTTTTCAAGACGTAGCTAAGATGTGTATCCAGGGAGGCCAAAAAGCCTCCAATGACTGCTGCACCTCATGCTGCTCTACAGCTCTCCAATAGCAAATTTCCCACCAAACAAGGCTGCCAGGACTCCTTGTGGAGGGCGCACGAACTGCCAGAGGAGGGCCTGTCCACTCACAGGCTTGTGAGACATCTTCACACAGCTAATTGGCAAGCTTGTGTTTGGACAGGAGTTTGCCAGTGAGATGTTGTGTGTTCCAAATTGCATGCCAAATCCTGTTGTGGGAATAAATTATTTTGCCTTTTCCTTTTTTCCTCCTCTAAAGGGCATAGAGCTGCACCATCCAAAACACAGTGTTCTTGGGCAAAGAGTTTCCTCTGAGTGTAGTGCAACTCATATTTTTGATAGGTCTTGGATGGGCTGGGGTGGACAAATTATTTACCCTAGAGGCTCAAGCCAGAATAAGCAGCAATCCTTTTTGACGGACAATGGCCTTAAAGGTATCTGCCCAGTGGGCTCGAACAGCCTCCTTGACAGGGCCTTGAGAATGACTTGGCAAATCCCTCTAAGGGGCAGAGGAGAACACTACAGAATGCTGCTAGTGCACTTCAAGTAGCAAACACTATACAATATTTCAAGAGATGGCTGATAAAAACAACCTTTTTACAGAAAAATCATTGCAAAGATAATAAGACATACACTTTGATATTTGAAAAAGACAAACACGTCTATAACAAAGGCAGCTGGAAACAGAGCAGTGGACATATTGCAGAGTTTGTATATTGTATTTTACTGTATTTTCCTACACAAGGAAGTTATCTTTAAATGCTCACACAAGCACTGAATGGCCAAATCCACTTTTATGTGCATTCCTAGAATCTCCAGTCTGTCCTTGACATGGTGCATGTAATGTGAGGTATTGGGAGCAGCTATCAGCTGAGCATGTTATGTATATCACAGTGCTGACGCTGAATTACCATGACCTACTCTAGTGCAGCTCTCTGTTATGGCAGTAGAACCAAATGGGAAGAGAGAAAGCTTTTAGGTAATGGAACACATGTGAATGCGTCAGCCTTCAATAGTCATCGACTAACAGGCAAAAAAAACAAGGAGGTCTTCTATCACTGCATTTCCTGCTTTATTTAAAAAAAAAAACATGGGAAGTAAACAGGCTGATCATAGGGCTGCTACTTCATAGAAAAGGAAACAGAGTGCAGATAAGTAACGAATTGATTGATTTGATTTGTTTGTAATCCTTTTACATGTTGGATCATCTCTGATCAATTATAGGGACAATTATTACTATTATTACTATTTTTGTATTCACCTTAAATATGGCAGATAGTTAAGCACACTCAAAGACAGTCTGGAAAATAGGCACTGATCAGTGTGACTGAATTAGAAATATATATATCTATATATAGCTATATAGATATATATAACAGACACAACAGGTAAATATGGTTTTCCCCTTGGGTTGTGTTTCTGTCTTTGATGATGCTTATCCCCCCCACCAAATGCTGCAGAAAAAAAGAAAAAGAAAAGTTAGTTTCAATAATAGTGGCAAAGCTTCTTAAGGTTTTTTGTTAAATATATTCCTGTGTATAGCATTTCAAATATATATTGTTGAGAACTGGGAAGACTTAAAAGCCTTTAATCAACTTATCTTCTATTTTGTACTTGACAGGCGGAACAAATTTTTATGAATCATACTGGTAGAGAAACAGGAAGCCATGGAAATGTGATTTGTAGGGGGCCCAGAAGTGGCCCCAGGTGAAAAAAAATAACACAGGGTTTAATATTTTGAAAAAATATTAACACTACACCAGATCACAAAATGGTTTTGCATATATACTCATGTGTCTCTCTCTCTCTCTTTCTCGAT